TACTGAAGAAACAAAGTCACCTACATCTTGGATGCCCTGGGGGTAAGCAGATAAACATCACATTTTCATTTTTGGGTGAACTATCCCTTTAACCATGAAGTAGTCTCCACCTGCTGGACATTCTGTCCCTTGGTGACCCACTCATTTCCTACTTTGACTCTTGGGTGGCACAGAGCCTTGATGAGATCAGCAGAGTTCAGGCCCATCAGATAAGCTGATTTATCAGCATCTGTTGCGCCAAAAAAAGAATTAGAATTTAATGGTTGATGGCAATGAATCTTCCATTTGTCCACAGGCACACACACATTCAAGAGTATAGAAACCCATTGTCAATGCTTGCCTATGAAATATCAATAAAATAACTTTGGTACTGAAAAGCTACACTATATTTCAATAATGAGGTGGTAATGTCACTATTTTTGTTTAGCATATCACAGCTTCACTCTTAGTGGAGAGATGGTAATTCACACATGCCCATCTCTGTCTGATTTAGAACAAGTATAATTGTATATTATATATATCATGTCAGCATTTTCTCCTAATACTGACCTTGAACTTCATGTTGCCGTAGTGCATGATGGCACCAATCAGCTTGTAGATGCCGTTCTTCTCCTCTTGGGTGAAGCCCAACACATCAAACGCTTCCTGCAGCAAACATACAGTGTCTCTAATAATGAACTGCATTTCACTGCATGTTATGCAGACTTCAGTTCCAAAGCTTGAGAAGTCAGTATCAAGAGATTTCTAGATGTTTTGGATAACGCACATCTGTAGCCATCAACTCGTCAGCATCATCAATAGAGGCCACTTGTGTCTCTCCTTGAGAAATGAAGGCATAATCGTACGGGTTTGCTGTGATCAGCAGCATCTCTGAGAGGATAAAATGATATTTTACAACTTTGCATCTCATCACTTGCAGTTTTGTTACCAAAGTTGTGATTTCGCTTACCCAGAAGTTCTGGTTTCTTCTGAGACAGGATCTGGTAGAAGATGTGGTAGTCACTCTCAGCCTTGAGCTGGAAAGTCACACGGGATTTCTCTAAAAGATCTGTTTGTAGAAATGTAGAAGTTAAGCTCTTACCATCGGCATCTTACCATCATCTTTAAAATGAAAAAGTTACAAAGGATTTACAAAGGAAAATGTTTTTCTTACAAGTCTCAATATCAGCAGAAGCAAGCTTTCCACTGGCAGCAAAGTGAATGCGAATGAACTTGCCCTGTTTAAGAACAACAGCTCAATGTCATTTTATTTCAATCAAATCAACATATTTTACGGTGGTCGAGAGAGCTCAACGAGCTGCAAATGAAAAAGCACATGCAAATAGAAAAAACACCAGCAAATAAAGAAAACATCTTCATCAGTTTGACAACACGTGCTGCAAACTCCCAACGCGACCAAATACAGAAATGCGCCGTAAATATGCCCAGACAACATCGGAAATGTTTAAGGGAACCGAAACAAGTGACAAACCTGGCTAGGACATGCTTATCAATGTCTACTCTGAAAGGTGAGATTTTTGTTTATTTTAACATCCTGATCATATGATTCCTTAGCTTTTTTGGATATGATTAGCCTAAATAAGCTGACAAAATACACGATTACTGTAACTTTGAAATGTAAACTTCCCTTATGAAAATTAACCATGGTTAAACCATGGTAACCACAAATTAACCCTGGTTTTGCTACACTAACCATAGCTTCACTGTGCTTATACAAATTGTAATCAATACGCCAAAAAACATGGTTACTATACTTTTACTATAATAAAACCATGGTTAATTTTCATAAAGGGAAGTTGTAAAGGTAAGTTAGCCAGCTTACATAATGTTTCACACCCCTTAAAACATTTCCACTGAGGTCTGTGCTACTTGCAACGCTTTTCTGTATTTGGTTGTGTTGTGAGTATTTGCAGCACGTTTCTGTATTTTGAATATTTGCAGCACATGTGTTGTCAAACTGATGAAGATGTTACCAGATGCTAGTGCTTTGGTGGCTGGGGCAGTGGTGGCCTAATGGTTAGTGAGTCGGGCTTGTAACCCAAAGGTCACGGGTTCGAGTCTCAGGTCTGGCAGGGATTGTAGGTGGGGGGAGTGAATAACC